GTAGGCCACGGCTACCAACTGATTACAATTTTTTTTCAAGGTGGGTTGTTCCATCAAATCAAAATACACATTTTGTGTATGTGTGTGTAATGTGTTAAATACTATGTCAAATAAATTGAAATATATTCCAATTTAATTGAAATGAAAATTATGTTTTTAACATGTTCGTCTGGAAGTAATTACTTTGTTATGGATGAAACAAACATTTGATGGTATTCCCAACTGGGTTTTGGAAATAAATCATAACCTTTCATTCATTTTTCGCGTTATTAGTTTTGTGTTGAAAAAATGTCAAATAAACATAAACACTTGCTGCGTATATTTATTTTATTTTTGGCAGAAGAAGCCACACGTGCATAGTTGCTTTTTTGTTATTCACCTCAAGCTGCCCTACCTTTTATTATTGTACCATGATTTTAATGACATGATATCAAACTCACACAAGTCTGTGTAGCGGTTTGTAAATTACAGGGACAACTAAACAAGATATTGAGGAAAATTATTTGTTTTTGGTTCGAAGAAATAATGGCATCATGTTCATTTTTTAGTTTTTTTTTTTACAAGAAATTTTAGAAACAAATGTTGGGGTTATTCTTATATTTAACCTGAATTTCACCGAAAAATTGATACATACATATATAAAAACCAGTGAGCGGAGCAGTATAGTCGTACGGGGCCGACCATATGATACCCTACACAACTTCCACGAAAAAGTAACTTTCTGTGGTACTACATTCTGAGCTTGGGCAATACTTCGTGATATTTGCACCCTCTTGACGACTATAGGTCAACAAATATCATTATTACTAATATTCAGTTATTACTAATATTCACCATGGGTTGTGTTGTAATGTTCGGCTTTCAATTGCGGTCTATAGATCGACTCGAAAAAACACAAAATATTAAGTTTTCGGTCAACTTCATCCCAAAATTATTATCTGATCATCACCGAAAATTATAAGCGTTGTCCTTGACCATACCTGGATCCTCATAGAAAATCAAAGCGATCCGCGCTTTATTTTCGCCCTCTAATGTGGTAATGGTTTACTAAATAATATATGAATACGTAAGCACCTGTAAATATTGAAGTGTAACTCCCACATCCGAGTACATACGACAATTTAATTGGTATCAATTTAAAGGTCAACCACTCCTCTTCGATATACTATTAACTTCTTGGGTATATATCCTTCATGGGAAAATATATACGCTATAGAATACATTTTTTGTCATTTTTCACACAAAAGTCGGGGCCCATTTGACCCGCCAAATATTGACCGATCTTTATCAAAACAGGCATTCTTATTCTTTGGCCCGATCCCTTTCTCCATGTAAAAATTCGCGAAGTTTGGGCCATAATTGCGGCCTCTAGAGCGGCCAGAAAAACAATTAAGTATTTGGTCCATTTCATTCCCTAAATATTAACCGATCTTTATCAAAAACAATAGGGATCTTCATTGGGCCGAACCCATCCTAACCTACGTAAAGATTGGTTCATAAATGTGGCCTGCATCGTATTTACAAATTATAATGGACAGACGGACGGACACACATATCGACTAGCTGAGTCGATCTAGACTCCCAGTTGTTCAAAAAATATCAATTGTCTGCTATTATATAGTTATATAGCTACTTACAAATTGACCTAGTTACTTTATACCCCAAAATGGTACAAAAAGTAGACAGTTTGATCTATTTGTCAATTTAAAAAAATTGTATAGCAATATCATTCCAATTCAATAGTTACTGCCAGTAACTTACTGGTAATGCAAAGAGTTATGAATCAACTATTTATTTTATATATTACCAATGGATAGAGAAATAAACAATTATTTTCATTTCGAAAAAAATCTATTGAAAAACAAAATATAACAATTGTTGTCATTTTTTAGACAATTTTGTATTCTTGTTAATATTGAAAACAATTGTAAGTTTAAATTCGCTTTTTTCAGCTTTATAGCAGCCGTTTATAGAAGGAAATGCTGTCCAACTTGCTTTCATATCGTAATGATATATGATACGTAAGTTTTAAAATGAAAGTGAAATAAATTCGAATCTATGTCTTCTGCGGAATTCCGAAAGACTGTCCAGAAGTATTCAATTGGTACAGATAGCAGACCTTCCAAACCTACATATGACAGCCTTCTACAGATATACTAGATGCTCCACAGGTGTTTTATAAGCAAGACTTTTCTCAGGGATATGATGGCGGTGTAATCTAACTTGCAGATGAGGTACAACAATATAATTTCGATACTGCATGTAATTGAGTAAAAATGCCAAATAAATATATGTATATACAGAATAACTTTCATACAAAAATATTTTTAAAACTGTTATAATAGTTTATTTTATATAAATATCTAACTAGACACTTCACCTGTTAAAGGTATCTACCCACTTAGATGACTACAATTCTACTCAAAGTACTATAATTTTTGACTACCTAAATGGCTGGTTACTGGTAAGGCAGGCAGAGGACAATTGACTTCCCCAATGACATACCCATGTTAAATTCACCAGTCTAGGGCATGATTTGGTAACTAGTGGTAGTTACAGGTAACTTGTAAAGTTTCTAGTTAATCACCAGTTACTTGAACAACTGGGGTATGATAATCACTTTTTGTGCTAAAATGCAAAAAGGCGTAACTAATAAAAAAATTGGAAATTGACTTTTTGAATGAATATTGTGAATGTCAATACATGTGTTGACAAAGTTTTACACGTCTGCGGTAAGGAGCTTCTATTAACAAATCTTCATCTTCATTTGACATGTTTATAGTTTTCATTCAAAATAGTTTTTTGCTTCTCCTACACAATTATGCTTTTGTTAGTTACGCCTTTTTGCATTTTAGCCAACTATATGGGGTTCTATAAATAAGAATAAATCTTAAAATAAAACTATACTATGAAATATACATTTTAAATTGCATCTAAATCCTTAATAATCCTTAATTTGCTCTTGGTAACCGAGTCATTGACATTGATGGCTGGTACACCCAAACGTCCCTCCTTGAACATTTTTCATGGACCAAATTGATCAAATCACCACCATCATCCAAGATCATGTTCAAGGGTTGACCATCGGGGAAGACCAAAGTTTGTTCAATGCACCATTGGTATTCTTCTTCGGTTTCACCCTTCCAGGCATAGACGGGTACACCGGTGGCGGCAATAGCAGCAGCAGCATGATCTTGTGTACTGAAAATGTTACAGCTGGACCATTGAACCTCAGCGCCCAATTCAACCAAAGTTTCAATAAGTACAGCAGTCTGAACCGTCATATGCAAACAGCCGGCAATACGGGCACCTTTCAAAATTTTCGAAGGACCGTACTTCTTGCGGCAAGCCATCAAACCGGGCATTTCATTTTCAGCAATAATGATAGCCTTGCGGCCCCATTCGGCTAACTTAATATCAGCTTCAACATTTTGCGTTTTTTGTTAATTTTTGCGGTTTATGGGGGGAAACAGGAGTGAAGTACAAAATAGATGCCGCGGTTCAAAACGATGGCTCTCGCTGGCTGGCTACGATTCAAAGAACCTGACAACGATTGATGATCCTTAAAATCATTTGATGCGCATGCGGTTTCCATGAAATACTAAATGTTGTCTTCCAATCCATGCATATTTTGCGAAATTTATGCAACTACACGTTGCATTGAAGTACCCAAAAACTCATAAAACGCGAATAATTTCCGAAATAATATGCCATTAACGAGTATCGGATTTCGGCGTGCACCCTGAAAAAATACATCGATATATATCTATTTCAATGCGGTCCATTAAGAGCCATGGATGACCCAGCTCACACTATTTTTGAGAAGAATTGAGTGCATCTCTCTTTTGGTTGAAGATTTTAAAGTTCTGTTTTCGCAACAGTTCAAAATCCGTAACAGGTTATTTATTGAAACGGAAATGATCCACAGAAAATGCAATTAAATCCGCGATATTTTCAAAAACATTATTTGCCAAAATTTCGTGTTTTTGAAGACCAGTTATTTCGCGGGTATCCATATCATTCAATTGATAGATTTAAAAATTTGGCCCGAAAAAGGGTTTTTTTAGAAATTTGATCGCACAACATTTTCACATTTGGATGAGAATTACTTTGAAGCTGTGCATACTACATACACAAGACCGTGGAATGAGTGGGTTAGTCACAAATCGATAGAGAACATAAAAAACTGGTTCACCTCAACCTGTTTTTCACATTTTTTTTAAAAAAAATTAAAGTAGACACAGCTTCCACCCACATAATGTTTGGAGGTCAATATCATGAAAAGTTTGCAACGACAGATCAATTAACCCAAAACGATTCACTTCTTTTCATATACTTAAGTAATTCCCGAGTTTTAATGAACCTCGGCTTCAGCTATGTTAAAAAATAGGCAATATTGTCCTTATTATTATATATGTATGTATAATCAAAAATGTATTTATTTATTAAAAAAACGTAAATATAAATGTTCGAAAATTAAAAAATCAGATGAAAACTTATTGTAGTGAAAACAGCAGTTAATTTCGTAGTCTTATTAACCCATTTCAAATTTAGAGAAATCGAAATCAAACGTTACCATCGCCGCTATTTTATTGGTATTTACTGGACATGTTTAAAGGTGTTTCATTTCACGAAAATTTATAATATTTTTTTAGTTTAAGAACTTAGCTTAGTTGCCTTTAAAACTAATGTTGAATTGCAAATAATTTATTCAATGAAAGAAAATCACAGAATACTTACTATACAGTTAAAAAACAAAATTAAAAAATTACAATGACACTGCAAAAACATTTTCGTCCGACTAGATTTGGTCCACGACTATTTCATCAGCGTTCAAAAATGTCCCCTATACTTTTTAGAAGACCTAGGAATGACAAATTTGATATACCCTCCACCTTTTTACAAGAGGAAGAAAACGATTTTTATAGGAATAAAATATATGTTCTATTTTATAAATTATTTAAAAAAATATATTCTGTTTTTAATTCCAGAATGAATGCTTAGATAACAGCAAACGCCTTTTGTGATTGAACCATACGTCCATTGAAGACGACGTGAACAGTCATTCTCTCGTTAGTTTTCAATTTTGGTAAAAGCTGAAATGCAAAATATAATTAACGTTGAATAATAATAAATAATTGTACTAAACCATACCTTAGGCGTTACAAAGAAATATTGAGCATTTCCTGTTTTTGTTGTTTCGTCTACCAACATTTCAAAGATTTTTCTTTCATTTCGGGCATCCATACCTTGGTTTATTTCGTCAACACATCGGAATGGTACATGTGTTATATGTTGCATGGACATTGTGTATACAGCGATGGCAACAGCTCTCTCCCCACCAGACTGGACATGACGATTCAGAGCTTGAAGTGGTACGTTTTTACGATACTGCACCAAAATCTCTATACCATATGATTCAAAGTCATGCTATAGGGATAAATTATATATGTATGTCAGTATTTTACAATTTTTTCATTTAAATTTAGTAGCTGGAACCTTTAATACGCTCTCACTTCATTTGAGAAACTTGTATAATTTTGTCGAATTTTTTATATATTCTCTATTTTTATTATATCCAAATGAATAATATTCCCTGTGACATTAATTTAAATAGACCGCATCCTTATAATTTTATGTATGTTATATATTTATGTTGCAGATGGAATTTTTGTTTAAGTTTATGAAAATGTATTATTCATGGCCCGCAATTATTATCGTGATTGTGAAAATGCTACTTGTCTTATTTCATATGTGGAGGATTTTCATATTATTTTTAATTTTAATAAGAGCTTTTAGTGTATTAATAAGTGCTAAGATAAGTGTAAGACTGTTAATTTCTTAAAAATAATGTATATAAATAAGAAAATAAAACAAAAAAGCTTATAAAAATATCAATATCAAAATATAATTTGAAAATGCTGTGAAATTAATAGAAATTGTGTCGTCATTTCCTAAGAATTGGGTTCGGAAAAATGAAAAGCCTGGCCAGTAGCACAGTAAACGTTCTAGCGTTTCAATATATTTACGCTCTACACCAGTTGCTTCCATCCAATATTATGTACGTTGGCCTGCGGGCCGTTATGTGCTGTGAGAATACCTGTCACTCCGCTGATTTCCACTTTGTTAGGATTATGACTTTCTTTGTCTCATCCTCATTTATGTTTCCTCGTAAAATGTTTGTGATATTCAAATGACCTCAATTCTAAATGCATGGCCATTTTTTACACTCGCCAAAAGTGCTATCGATATATCGTTTCGTTGGTATATCGTTTCCTACTGTTCTTATGTAACTCGGTATCCATAAGATTCGTAGGAGACCATGTCGCAAGAAATTATGGTTTTTATACATTTTAACACAGTTTTGGATTTAACTGTTTTAGATGTTTTTATTTTTATGACAAATTTTTTTATGGCATGTTTGCTAGTATTGCGCTATCACATGAATCCCTGTCTGTTATAGCAGTTTCACATATTGTGACTACTCTTATTTCAGCTATTCGATCGACTCAATACTACTAATTACGGATCCGATTGTGGCCTGTACTAATTGGCCTATTGTGGCCGGTGTCGATCCACACGTCTTGAAGTTGTGACGGCCGCTTCTTATTTTATTTGGATGTCAATAAGATGTATATATGGGCAATATTGCCAATTGTTAAAACATAGTGCATCCCTTTATAATTCGGGAATTAATAAAGTATAATTTCTTGTTGCTGCTGAAATTTACAAGCCGCTCCACAGTTTTGTGTGATTTTGATATGGTTTTGTTTAGCGGTTTGAATTAATTTTTATGTGGATATATATATATATATATATAATTTTTGCCGGCAACCACCAAAAAATTCATCGCGAACTTAATCGGAGTCATTTTCTCCTAAATATGTACCAAAAATCATCGAAAATAAAAATACTTTTTTCGGAAATGGAATATTAAATATTGACACTATTTTCCGTATTACCCAAATACGCAAGGACCTTATTTACTTGAGTGTCAATTGAAAAAGGCGAAAATGGATGAAACAAATTAACTGAAAAATGTTTACTTTTATAGAAAAACAAATTTTCGATGACTGGAATTCTATTTTCAAAAAACAAAAAATTTAAAGTACGCTTGTCAATGCTGAAATTGATAGATAAGTTAATTTCTCAAAAGGGGCTACCTTCTGTAATTATGTCGCAATGACACAATGCGTCTTTGGGTAGCATTCATTGAAATACGTGTATTTAACTTTTGAGGTGAATAAAATCGTAGGCATACGCATGAATTTAGGCACGACCCGTAGGTGTAACCATGGAACAATAATACGAGGTAGGGCAGCTTGAGTTGAATAACAAAAAAATCAACTATGTAGGTGCTGGCTTCTTATGCTAAATATAAAATAAATATACGCAACAAGTGGTTGTGTTTATTTGAATTTTTTCAACACAAAACTAAAAACTCGAAAAATGAATGTAAGTCCCAATTTAGATTAGGCGAGTTTACTTGCGGCAAGTTATTGACTGTAGGAGAGAGGGGCAAGGGGAATAGAAATGGAAAAAAATTGCTCGTACCGACAATTTTCTGGCAATTCGTTTTGTGTATCTCGTATTTCTTGACATTTTATATTTATTAAAATGTGAAAAATCTATTGACATCAAATGGAAAAAGAAATATTTTTGAAACCGAATTGCCTTGTATAGACGCATGAAGCGAGTTCAAAAGGGAACGATAATAATTGCCGCAAGTAAACTCGCCTAATATAAATCAGGACTAAGGTTATGATTTCTTTCCAAAATATAGTAGGGAATACCATGAAATATTTGTTCCATCCATAACAGTTACTTCCATACTTTTCATTTCAATTAAATTTGAATATATTTCAATTTATTTTGAATTTATTTGACATAGTATTCAAAATATGTATTTTGTTTTTATGGATCAAGCCACCTTGAGAAAAAATTGTAATCAGTTACAGCTATCAACTGCCTTGTAATAATTATACCATGGGTGGAACTGTTATGTGTATTTTTAAATACTATGTGAAATTGTTCTAAATAAATTCAAATTCAACTGAAATATATTAAAATTGGAATGAAAGCCATTTATTGCATTATTCGTCTTGAAGAAATTACTCCGATATGAAAGAAACAAATGTATAATTGTATTCCCTATTCGATTTTGGGAAGAAATCATGACGTTTCATTCATTTTTCGTGTTATAAATAGTTGCGTATATTTATTTTATATCCGACGGAAACGTTCGTTTTTCAGACAGTGCTGGAATATTTTTGCCATTTTTTTCATTTTTTTCTGTTTCAGAACCTGCAAGAACTGTTTTGATTTTCCCTTTTTAAATTTCGAAAGTATTACCACATTGATAAAATGTCTGAATTAATGTCTTAATTGAATACTCACTTCTTCTTTGTAAACTAACTTCACTTCACCAACATAACCCATTGATTCCATGAACTGTCCAAAATGGTCGTTGATAGTCGTTACGACTTGATTAACAATAGGATACCATGTGTCATAAATTTTCTTTATTTCGCACAAATAATTGTCATTGCCATGCAAGTTAGCATCAATGTCTTTCTGTAGTGCCTCAACTTCATTTCTTTTAGCATCGTATTCCCGTACAATCTAAAAAAATAAAGTTATAGATAATTTTAAGGAAAAAATACCTACACATATTAACATTGGCTTCATACCTCACCATTAACATTATCCATGCAGTCCAAACGTCCACTAAGATCACTTATAATATCACGCAATTCTTCAAGACTACCAGTTAAACTATTATAGAACTGTTTGTAGGGATATTTTCTGTCTGTTGGCTCCATCTGATTGGTGTATTTTAGGGTCTCGGACAGTTTTTGTTTCACATCTCTTTTAAGATTGTTGCATTTATTACTAATAACTTCTACACGATTCTGTAATTGCAATATGTTGTCTTAGTTTAATTGCCTTGGAAGAGTTATTAATTACCTTAGAAGTATCTCTTTTCTCTTTTGTAGCGGAAATGACACCAACAATCTCATCGTTCTCTAATCTAAAGATGGAAAATTTGCTCGTAGAGTATGATTTGCTTTCCATTGCCTTCTGAATTGCTTTGAGAACTTCAATTTTTTCTTTTTGGAGTTTTAGTATTTCCTCTATTGCCTTTTTACATGTCTGTTTGAATTCTTCCTCAACCTCGGGAGTAACTATATTATGAGAAAATAGTTGTTGCAAGAGTTAATTAAAATAATCATGTGTCGTTAATTAAAATAATCATAACGCACCAATAGCATCTCTTTTAAGTGTTTCAATCTTTTTCTGCTGTCGATCCAATTGAACAATTTTTTGCTTGAGTTCAATTTCTTTCGCTTGAAGCTCCTTTTTCACTTGAAAAACCTCCTCGTAGCGTATTTTCTTTTCGCGTATTTTAACTTCAATTTCATTCCGCTGGTTTCGTAAATTATCCGCTTTTCGTGTCAGTTCATTTAATCTATAAATATAAAGTACAATTTTTACATATATTCATTGATTTTGCATTTGTTTTAGTTTAGACGAAAATCTATGTCTATCTATGTATTTTAAACATGCAAATACATAGATGATTTTCGCTGAATAGAATCAAAATATTTTTACCGCCACATACGGACAAAATCAAACTATAAATTTTTTAAATGTTTTTCATTGTATCGCATATAGTATGTAGACACTTTGTTCCATTAATACTATTATTTTATATCCATTTTTGGAAAGTGAAAATATTTGCTGAAACATATTTGAAGAAAATTGTTGAATTGTTAATTATATTTTAACTTTCACTTTTGGTCGATGTGTTGAGGAAAAGTGAAGCAGGTTATCGAAAACAACATCAATATTTTTTTTAGATTATGGAGAGTGGGGATCAGGGATGGTCCGTCAGAAACTGTGACGTAAATGACATGCATTTCCGACGTATAATACAAACGTCGGAAACCCACCCAAAACCATTAGGTTTTTGTCAAAATAGCTATATCCATTAATCAATTTGGAAATCCATATAAAATATAAAAATTTTCTTCTCTAAAAAGTTTTGAATTTTTTATCAGTAACTGAATAACTGAATATGGTAATAATATTCTAATAAATGACGTTTACTACATTTATTGCATATTATACTGGTATATGACGATTTCGACGTTTACACCTTTTTGACTGTCGAAAACAAAAAAATTCGTCACACGGACCATCCCTGGACATGGTTGACTTTGCCGTGGAAAAAGATAGTAATGGTCAAGATAACTGGTCATATTCTCAATTAGGTCGTGTTCATTCTAATGTCTGACATATCTAATAATGTAATTCGGAGTTTCGCAATTACATTCCAGATCAGGAAAAGATAAAGTATGAGTAAGATCGAAGTGGTTCACGATTGATATTATGTTGCCCCATAGCGATAAAGCTGGGGCTTGTAGGCGTGAGGAAACAGGACGCAGGACCTGAAAATCTATCTAACGGTATTTGACCAATGCTTCGCATTGAATGTTTGGCAAATAATACTTGACTTTTTTCTCAGATATACATTTCGTCGTCATAAACAGCATCAAAAATTGTCATGCCTTATTTATCATCCCCAAGAAAATTTTGAAAGACATTAATGACCTGGCTGTAATCATATTAAATACAGATATAATAAACTATCCTATAATTATTAGTACTTTATTCCTGCAATAACTCAGAGGTTATCCCCACGATCCTTATACATGCTGCATTTTATTGCAGTTCGGTATTTTCTGCAATGTTCTTATTGTGCCACAAACGACTGAACATAGTCCGCGCATATATAGCATTTCCACATTAAATGAAACCTTTTACAAATAAAATGAACCCTTTTCCAAATTAAATGAAACCTTTTCCAAATTAAATGAAACCTTTTCCACTTGAAATGAAACCTTTTACAAATAGAATGAAAGCTTTTCCAATTGAAATGAAACCTTTTACAAATAGAATGAAACTTTTTCCAAATTAAATGAAACCTTTATTCTTATCTAAGGAAATATAATATTTGCACTAATTTTAAACCAATATTTCAAAATTAAATCAAAGAATATTAACAAATATAGTTGTATGGCTATGTAATTAACATAAATATTCTTTAATTCGGTGTGATTTCATTTAATATCTTTACTACATAAAACTAAATAAATAGTAATACAAACTGGGGTATTTCTTGACATTTTAATAAATAAATATTTAAGAACAAGAATTGAATACCCGGTCCTAAATGCGAAATACATATTTAACTTAATAAATTGTTGATGATAAGGTAACTGCTTATCTTAATGAAGGGGTTCCCGACTTGCAGCTTGTGGGATTTTCAAAACCATGTCCATAACGTAGTTAGAACAATCTTGCCGAGTAAGCTTTTGAATACTTCGCTCGATTACATCAACAATGTTATGTTCCATTGAAACGTCACACAGCTCAGCTCTTGCACATAATTTTATTTTTGCAAATGCATTTTCGATTGGATTTAGCATTGGAGAATAAGGCGGTAAGAATTTAAGGTTGCATCTTTTGGATTCGATCAAATTTTTTATGTCATGTCGCTTGTGTATTTGAGCGTTATTTTCCAACTCTGGATTGATTTTCTCAAAAAAAATTCTATAAATAATTTAAATCTGTCTGCATTGACACTGGAATTAGAAACAATTGTGTGATGTACAACTCCCGCGTTGTTTATTGCTGCAATTATAGTGACATTACGACCTCTGACCGTAGGCAACACAATGTGTGCTCTTGCTCCTTGTCTTGAACGGGCATGGATTCTTCGTATGTGAAGATTAAATCCACACTCATCAATGAATATAAATTTTTCTCCTTGTTGGGGTATCCATTTTGTAAAGTCTTGAGCATATTTTTGTCTCAAGCCTAATGTTCTGGAGTCATTATTTCGTTCTATTTCAATAGAGGCCATCTTAAACGTAATTTTTAATTTCCGTAATCCATATTCTATGCAGCTTGTGGAAATATTTATATCATTTTCTCTCAACAGTTTAGTTTTTATGGCTTTGAGGGTAATTCAAGGTTGACTTTCTATATAGAACTCGATCAGACTTAAAACTTGTGGTGTCAACAACTTAGTTCTATTTCCTCCACGCTTATTTTCCTTCAATGTTCCAAAATTTTTTTTGTAATTACTTCACATTGTCGAGAGTTTACTGTTTTGGATGTTCACATTATCGAGAGTTCACTGTATTTAAAAATAGCAACGTTTAAAATAAATGCGAACCTGACCGGGAAGCTCTGATAATTGGGAACCTGAGGAAGAATCAATATCCTCGCCAAGTATTGCAAGTGGAAATGCTCTACAAGACCCCGAAACAAATTGGGTCAGTATAACAAAATAACAAAAGACATGAAATTGTTATTATTTAAATTCTATGAAGAGGGGAGAACCATTTCCGAGGCTGCAAATTTAACCTGCATAAACATAAATTCCGAAAAAAACATTTATAAGAAGATACAAACAAAATTTTGGAACATTGAAGGAAAATAAGCGTGGAGGAAATAGAACTAAGTTGTTGACACCACAAGTTTTAAGTCTGATCGAGTTCTATATAGAAAGTCAACCTGGAATTACCCTCAAAGCCATAAAAACTAAACTGTTGAGAGAAAATGATATAAATATTTCCACAAGATGCATAGAATATGGATTACGGAAATTAAAAATTACGTTTAAGATGGCCTCTATTGAAATAGAACGAAAGAATGACTCCAGAACATTAGGCTTGAGACAAAAATATGCTCAAGACTTTACAAAATGGATACCCCATCAAGGAGAAAAATTTATATTCATTGATGAGTGTGGATTTAATCTTCACATACGAAGAACCCAAGCCCGTTCAAGACAAGGAACAAGAGCACACATTGTGTTGCCTACGGTCAGAGGTCGTAATGTCACTATAATTGCAGCAATAAACAACGCGGGAGTTGTACATCACACAATCGTTTCTAATTCCAGTGTCAATGCAGACAGATTTAAATTATTTATAGAAATTTTTTTTTTTGAGAAAATCAATCCAGATTTGGAAAATAACGCTCAAATACACAAGCGACATGACATAAAAAATTTGATCGAATCCAAAAGATGCAACCTTAAATTCTTACCGCCTTATTCTCCAATGCTAAATCCAATCGAAAATGCATTTTCAAAAATAAAATTATGTGCAAGAGCTGAGCTGTGTGACGTTTCAATGGAACATAACATTGTTGATGTAATCGAGCGAAGTATTCAAAAGCTTACTCGGCAAGATTGTTCTAACTACGTTATGGACATGGTTTTGAAAATCCCACAAGCTGCAAGTCGGGAACCCCTTCATTAAGATAAGCAGTTACCTTATCATCAACAATTTATTAAGTCAAATATGTATTTCGCATTTAGGACCGGGTATTCAATTCTTGTTCTTAAATATTTATTTATTAAAATGTCAAGAAATACCCCAGTTTGTATTACTATTTATTTAGTTTTATGTAGTAAAGATATTAAATGAAATCACACCGAATTAAAGAATATTTATGTTAATTACATAGCCATACAACTATATTTGTTAATATTCTTTGATTTAATTTTGAAATATTGGTTTAAAATTAGTGCAAATATTATATTTCCTTAGATAAGAATAAAGGTTTCATTTAATTTGGAAAAAGTTTCATTCTATTTGTAAAAGGTTTAATTTCAATTGGAAAAGGTTTCATTTCAAGTGGAAAAGGTTTCATTTAATTTGGAAAAGGTTTCATTTAATTTGGAAAAGGTTTCATTTAATTTGGAAAAGGGTTCATTTAATTTGGAAAAGGGTTCATTTAATTTGTAAAAGGTTTCATTTAATGTGGAAATGCTATATATAATAACATATTATTGATTTACCATACCTGGACTTTATAGCGTTTATTTCGATGTCATTTCTACTGCAGAGTAAGCCTTTGGAAGAAATTGTCCTTTGCATAAGAGACGCTTCCCTTTGGCCATATCTGGAAATTGTAAGGGTAAAGTGATTGTCGCCTACGAAATAAACAAATAATACTTAACAGAGAAAAATCATATATGTGAGTGAGTACTTACCGCCAAAATAACTTCGAATGTCATGAGGGATTTGATCAGTGCAACTATTTACGTTGTCGTTCCCATATGGAATGTTTTGCAAATTGTATAATGAACAGAGGCAACCCAATACAGCACGTGGTCCATTTACTAAGTTTATCAGATATGATTTAAACCCATATTGCCTTCAATATTTAATAAGCAATAGTGGTTTTAATGTATGATTATTACAGTATTAAATGGAAGAGTTTATTTACCGTATTTCATCGATGGGTATTTTCGGCGTGAATATCGAATCCGATGGAACTGGCGCGTGGCAAATATTAACTTGTAACTTTCTCTTAGAACATAATTCTGTGGCTAATAGAGACAAGTCGGATGCACTTTCACATGAAAAAGCCAGCAAATCTCTTATATTTATAATGTTCTCCAAATATTTAGCATAATTTTGATCCATCACTGTCAACTAAAAGTTAAAGACATATCAGCATTTTCGGAATGATGCACATTTGCAAATATCAAATAAATACCTCAAGAATAACTGGTTTGTAAACTCTCCCTTCAAACATATCTGCATTCTCATCTATCCATCTAACAGCATTATACACATCAGGGAACTTATCTCTTAAATACTATACGAAATTGACAAGATTTAAACAGTTCAATATTGAATATTCTTGAAAGTTACCTTCATTTTTTGCTCGCTAACGTTCTCCAAAGATTCTAGACGAGATTTCAAAGATTGTATCTCTGGTATGTTCTCTTCCAACTTATTCTGTATATTTCTGTGTTCTTGATTTAAATGGTTTATTGCTTGTCTTAACTGTTCCATTTTCAAATCATATTCCCTAAGCCGTTGCTCACGATTGGGGTTCGACATTTCTTCAGTGTTAAGTATTTTCAAGTCTTGCGCGTAAACCTGTAGCATCTTTACCTCCTTTTTAATCTCATTTTGGCGCTCATTTGAATCTCTCTTTCGTTTCTATAATTTTCATTATAAAAATTGGCATAAATAAATATAGTATCGAAGAGTCAAAATCACTTTTGACGATATTATCTACATATATATATATATATATAGCATTTCCACATTAAATGAAACCTTTTACAAATTAAATGAACCCTTTTCCAAATAAAATGAAACCTTTTCCAAATTAAATGAAACCTTTTCCAAATTAAATGAAACCTTTTCCAAATTAAATGAAACCTTTTCCACTTGAAATGAAACCTTTTATGACTCCAGAACATTAGGCTTGAGACAAAAATATGCTCAAGACTTTACAAAATGGATACCCCAACAAGGAGAAAAATTTATATTCATTGATGAGTGTGGATTTAATCTTCACATACGAAGAACCCAAGCCCGTTCAAGACAAGGAACAAGAGCACACATTTTGTTGCCTACGGTCAGAGGTCGTAATGTCACTATAATTGCAGCAATAAACAACGCGGGAGTTGTACATCACACAATCGTTTCTAATTCCAGTGTCAATGCAGACAGATTTAAATTATTTATAGATTTTTTTTTTTTTTTTTTTTGAGAAAATCAATCCAGAGTTGGAAAATAACGCTCAAATACACAAGCGACATGACATAAAAAATTTGATCGAATCCAAAAGATGCAACCTTAAATTCTTACCGCCTTATTCTCCAATGCTAAATCCAATCGAAAATGCATTTTCAAAAATAAAATTATGTCCAAGAGCTGAGCTGTGTGACGTTTCAATGGAACATAACATTGTTGATGTAATCGAGCGAAGTATTCAAAAGCTTACTCGGCAAGATTGTTCTAACTACGTTATGGACATGGTTTTGAAAATCCCACAAGCTGCAAGTCGGGAACCCCTTCATTAAGATAAGCAGTTACCTTATCATCAACAATTTATTAAGTCAAATATGTATTTCGCATTTAGGACCGGGTATTCAATTCTTGTTCTTCAGGGACCGAAAATAACAGTTATTTTTTAAAATGCGAACAAAAAAATCTTCATGTTAGAGACATGGGACACCAATAGTGTCATATACCAATAGATTCGTACTGAGGAGCCCATTAAGGATATTGAGTGATCTTGAGAAAACACTCTCAGTTCCCATGTTAAAGATTATTTTTTAACGGAAAAAAAAATATTTTTAACGATTTTTATTTTTTTTAAAGTCTTTTTGCGATTTTTATTTTTTCCGTCAAAAATAAAAGTCTTTTTGGGACTTTTATTTTTTCCGTCAAAAATAACAGTCTTTTTGGGACTTTTATTTTTTCCGTCAAAAATAAAAGTCTTTTTGGGATTTTTATTTTTTCCGTCAGAAAATAAAAGTGTTTTTGGGATTTTTATTTTTTCCGTCAGGAAATAAAACTCTTTTTATGTAAAGAAGTTTATACAACTTGTAATCAGTTATAAAATTACAATTTATAAATCTCTGTCCTTATTACAACAAGTGTACACATAAGTAATCAAGATCAAAGGTAAAAAATATTTGTTGTAAATTTTTAAAAAATAGTCTAGTGTACCAAATCATGAATATAAATTAAAGAATCATTCCCCTGACTATTAGGTCAAAGGTTATATAACTGGTACCAAACTCTATATGTTTATTTACGTAAAAAGACTTTTATTTTCTGACGGAAAAAATAAAAATCACAAAAAGACTTTTATTTTTGACGGAAAAAATAAAAGTCCCAAAAAGACTTTTATTTTTGACGGAAAAAATAAAAGTCCCAAAAAGACTGTTATTTTTGACGGAAAAAATAAAAATCCCAAAAAGACTTTTATTTTTGACGGAAAAAATAAAAATCATTTTTAACAGTTAAAAATCAACGTTTATTTTTTCCGTTAAAAAATAAATAATTAAAGTGGATTTTTTTTATTTAGGTCACATAATAACAGTTATTTTTTACCTGATTTGATATAAGTTATAACCGTTACGGTCCCTGTTGTTCTTAAATATTTATTTATTAGAATGTCAAGAAATACCCCAGTTTGTATTACTACTTATTTAGTTTTATGTAGTAAAGATATTAAATGAAATCACACCGAATTAAAGAATATTTATGTTAATTACATAGCCATACAACTATATTTGTTAATATTCTTTGATTTAATTTACAAATATTGGTTTAAAATTACTGCAAATATTATATTTCCTTAGATAAGAATAAAGGTTTCATTTAATTTGGAAAAAGTTTCATTCTATCTTTAAAAGGTTTCATTTCAATTGGAAAAGGTTTCATTCTATTTGTAAAAGGTTTCATTTCAAGTGGAAAAGGTTTCATTTAATTTGGAAAAGGTTTCATTTAATTTGGAAAAGGTTTCATTTAATTTGGAAAAAGTTTCATTTAATTTGGAAAAGGTTTCATTTAATTTGGAAAAACCTTTTACAAAACCTTTTACAAATTAAATGAACCCTTTTCCAAATTAAATGAAACCTTTTCCAAATTAAATGAAACCTTTTCCAAATTAAATGAAACCTTTTCCAAATTAAATTAAACCTTTTCCAATTGAAATGAAACCTTTTACAAATAGAATGAAACCTTTTCCAATTGAAATGAAATCTTTTACAAATAGAATGAAACTTTTTCCAAATTAAATGAAACATTTATTCTTATCTAAGGAAATATAATATTTGCAGTAATTTTAAACCAATATTTGAAAATTAAATCAAAGAATATTAACAAATATAGTTGTATGGCTATGTTATTAACATAAATATTCATTAATTCGGTGTGATTTCATTTAATATTTTTACTACATAAAACTAAATAAATAGTAATGCAAACTGGGGTATTTCTTGACATTTTAATAAATAAATATTTAAGAACAAGAATTGAATACCCGGTCCTAAATGCGAAATACATATTTGACTTAATAAATTGTTGATGATAAGGTAACTGCTTATCTTAATGAAGGGGTTCCCGGCTTGCAGCTTGTGGTATTTTCAAAACCATGTCCATAACGTAGTTAGAACAATCTTGCCGAGTAAGCTTTTGAATACTTCGCTCGATTACATCAACAATGTTATGTTCCATTGAAACGTCACACAGCTCAGCTCTTGCACATAATTTTATTTTTGAAAATGCATTTTCAATTGGATTTAGTATTGGAGAATAATGCGGTAAAAATTTAAGGTTACATCTTTTGGATTCGATCAAATTTTTTATGTCATGTCGCTTGTGTATTTGAGCGTTATTTTCCAACTCTGGATTGATTTTCTCAAAAAAAAAATTCTATAAATAATTTAAATCTGTCTGCATTGACACTGGAATTAGAAACAATTGTGTGATGTACAACTCCCGCGTTGTTTATTGCTGCAATTATAGTGACATTACGACCTTTGACCGTAGGCAACACAATGTGTGCTCTTGCTCCTTGTCTTGAACGGGCATGGATTCTTCGTATGTGAAGATTAAATCCACACTCATCAATGAATATAAATTTTTCTCCTTGTTGGGGTATCCATTTTGTAAAGTCTTGAGCATATTTTTGTCTCAAGCCTAATGTTCTGGAGTCATTCATTCGTTCTATTTCAATAGAGGCCATCTTCAACGTAATTTTTAATTTCCGTAATCCATTTTCTATGCAGCTTGGAAATATTTATATCATTTTCCCTCAACAGTTTTTATGACTTTGAGGGTAATTCCAGGTTGACTTTCTATATAGAACTCGATCAGAGAGTTCCACTGTATTTAAAAATAGCAACGATTAAAATAAATGCGAACATGATTTTAGCTCGGGAAGCTCTGATAATTGGGAACCTGAGGAAGAATCAATATCCTCGCCAAGTATTGCAAGTGGAAATGCTCCAGAACCTACCGAAGCTACATCTACAAGACCACGAAACAAAATAGAACTAAGTTGTTGAAATAAATAGAACTAAATAGAACTAAGTTGTTGTACATCACACAATCGTTTCTAATTTCAGTGTCAATGCAGACAGATTTAAATTATTTATAGAAATTTTTTTTGAGAAAATCAATCCAGAGTTGGAAAATAACGCTCAAATACACAAGCGACATGACATAAAAAATTTGATCGAATCCAAAAGATGTAACCTTAAATTCTTACCGCATTATTCTCCAATACTAAATCCAATTGAAAATGCATTTTCAAAAATAAAATTATGTGCAAGAGCTGAGCTGTGTGTCGTTTCAATGGAACATAACATTGTTGATGTAATCGAGCGAAGTATTCAAAAGCTTACTCGGCAAAATAATTCTAACTACGTTATGGACATGGTTTTGAAAATCTCACAAGGGAACCCCTTCATTAAGATAAGCAGTTACCTTATCATCAACAATTTATTAAGTCAAATATGTATTTCGCATTTAGGACCGGGTATTCAATTCTTGTTTTTAAATATTTATTTATTAAAATGTCAAGAAATACCCCAGTTTGCATTACTATTTATTTAGTTTTATGTAGTAAAGTTATTAAATGAAATCACACCGAATTAAAGAATATTTATGTTAATAACATAGCCATACAACTATATTTGTTAATATTCTTTGATTTAATTTTCAAATATTGGTTTAAAATTAGTGCAAATATTATATTTCCTTAGATAAGAATAAAGGTTTCATTTGATTTGGAAAAGGTTTCATTCTATTTGTAAAAGGTTTAATTTCAATTGGAAAAGGTTTAATTTAATTTGGAAAAGGGTTCATTTAATTTGGAAAAGGTTTCATTTAATTTGGAAAAGGGTTCATTTAATTTGGAAAAGGTTTCATTTAATCTGGAAATGCTATATAAACATGAATTGCTGTTCGTTAGTCTCGCTAAAACTCGAGAACGGCTGAACGGATTTTTCTTATCTTAGTCTTAAAATGTTCGTGGAGCTTCAGGGAAGGTTTAAAAGGTGAGAAAAAATCGAAAAGCGCGAAAAATTTGCAAAAAATTTATGCAGGCTACTTGCATTTCCACGAATTAATATCGAGCTATTTTGATAGCACCACGTCGTAGTTGTTATTTTGAGATATTTTGGACGAAAATTTGTAGCGTATCATTCCTTTAAGCCTATATTTTGCCAAATATTGCAAATTTTCAAAATATTTTTTTTTAATTGAATTGACATTGTATTGAAACATTTTTTGGGAGAATACAAAAAAATAATTGAGATGTATATCATTGCATCTACAAGCGATCATTGCATGTACACGTTTTCCATTGAATGCACGTATATTTTGGACTATGCAAGGATGTAAAATCAGAAGACATCCGAATCGAGTTCGTGGTCATTCAGGGTATTCGAATTCTAAGATCGATGCACTAAATTAATTGGTTTGAAAATAATAATAATAGGAACATGTTGTTCTTTAATATCTTTGAACTTATAAACCGAACATCCGATACCAAAAATGTGTATTACAGAGAAAACTAATATACGAGATATTTTCTTTGCAAAAATCTATCAAACAAAAAACCAGCAATATTAGAAAAACAGCATACTATATAATTTAATGGTTAAACCAAAACCTCCGTCCGATGTTACCTATTCGTATTGAACAGGCCAACTACCGATAACACACAGATTGGAAAACGGAGGTAAGAACTTCAACATACCGGATATTGAACGTGAAAAAATTATGGCGTCTTTTTAAAACGTTAAGCTGTAGTGCATAATTTCTAGGATGCTGTTTTTTATCCACAGGAGTCCGTTATGCCTAATTATAGCCAACTCTATGAGAAAATTATGTCAATGTCTTTATAGTGCCGAAAATGGGGCGAGAACTGTATGTATTGCTATATTAAAACTTGGACCTAAATATATAATTTTTAGCATGCCATGTTTTAGATACTACAATGGAAATGAAGATATATTAATTTTTAGTAGGAAGATTTGACACCACATGAGAAATTGTGGGGGATACCATTATATGGGTCCTACCCAGAAACTTGGACCAATATTGATAATTCTTTGTAAGGAGATTTTGTACTCACTGATTATCTAAAATATAAAATTACAGCCAATTTGATTGAAACCCGTTACCAAACCCCCCAACATACAGAAGAGTGGATCAATATTAACAATTTTAAGTAGGATTCGTGCTACCAAATAAAACAACCAATTGTAACTGATTAGGTTGAAAAACGTGCCTAAATCCCCAAAAATGTGGAGTGCCATTATATGGAAGCTTTTCGGAAGCTTGCGCAATTTTTTAGGAATATTTTCTACTCAATGATCATCCAAAATATAAAATTACAGCCACATACCGAATATTAAAGGATTACCCGGATACTTGGGCCAATATTGATAATTTTATGTAGATAGATTTTCTGCTCAATAAGTATCCCCAATATTTAATTAAAAGCAATTCTGTTGGAAACCCTGGCCAAGAACTTCAAAATACGGAATTTTTATTGATAAAAAATCGTCAAAATGTCTCATATTGCGAGGTACCTTTGTATGGGAGCTACCCTAAATAGTGAACTAATATTGAACATTTTCAATGCCAAATATCCTAGGAGTAGCAGCAATGTACGTGCAAATTTCAGAAAGTAGAAAAACCTAACTTAATATTGAGCTATCGTTATTTGAATTATACATCAACAATATTGCTATGCAAGACAACGTTTGCCGGGCCCGCTAGTTTATAATAAATATATCGACTATAACGACAATATCCAAAATTCCCGAATTTCTTCTCTAAGTTAGGATACAGTTAATATTTAATGTTTTTGGCCGTGAAAAATGTGGTGCACAAAAAATGTTTTGAAAAATCAAATCAGGGATCGGGTTTATATAGGAAACCGATATTCGGATACAAAGATAGTTAAGAAAATAAAATCTTGATGTAATTGGTAGATTAATGGCAAGATTCCGAAATTTCCCCTAATAATATGATTTCGGTAATTTGTTCTGAATAGTTGTAATGTAGTGCAACTGGTATGGGTTTAAATCAGCAGTGCCCAAAATAGGTCTCATGGGCTGTCGGTGTGTGTGTGTGTGTCAAAATAAAAAATATTTTCAATATTGTCATTCATTCCTTTTTGATTTCATACACTGAACGAAGAAATTAGGACTTTTTAGGCAAAAATTGGTTGAGAAAAAGTCAAAATATGTGACCAATACAATGGGGATTGGCGAAACAGAAGCAAATCTATCTTCATATAGGAAAATATATCATTAACAAGCATATTTGCATTGAATACAAAATGTTCTTCTGTCTTAAAATTTGAAATACAAGTTTTTAAAATTTTCTCACAGTTTAATAAGAGTGAATCATAAATTTGAAAATTGTGTATTTGAAACAAATACAATAACAAACATTTGCATGTATTAGTGTGGATAGCCCTGGTTTAAATAATAGAACTATATATTAAAAATTGATATGAGGATTGCCAAAAAGAGGCTTTCACACGAACAATTTAAACAATTATTAAATTTGTTACAACTGGTGTTGGCTGAGCGAGTAGAACTAGAATCTTCAATACAGTTATGGGAATCATGTTAGCTACCCAGTTGTTCAATAAATATCAATTTTCTGCTTATATACAGTTATATAACTAGTTACTATGTTATCTAGTTACTTTATACCCAAAAATGGAAAACGTTTTCTATTTCTGTAGTTACTGGTAATGCGAAAAGTAATGAATCGAAAAAAGCAAAACAGAAAAAAAAATTGTCATTTTCTTCAGACTTTATAATTTTTTGAATTGTGAAAGCAAAAGTTTGATAAAAATATGTGTTTTATACAAAAATATAAGCAATCAATATTCACGATGTTGAAGATGAAGTGTCGTTTAAATAAAAAAATCAAGAATCTAAAATGCAATGGTTGAATCTAAGGTAAGTTCTGGTTTTCTGACACAATAAATACATACGTAATTTTTTCAACAAAATTATTCTACAGATTTTCAATTCAGAAGCATACAACAGATCGGGGGAACAAATAAAAGTTTGAAATACATAGGTAAATACTCCAAAAGCTTCTACTTAAGAGACCAATGTCTGGTCTCTTAAGTAGAAGTTACTGGTAACGCAGGTAGGGGACAATTGACTTCCCCAATGACATACCCATGTTAAATTCATCAGTCTAGGGTATGAAGTGGTAGCTTATGTTCCGATATATGAATGTATTTTTACAAATCAACACTCCAACTGCACAAAAGCACTAACTGGATAAGTTTGTGGACGAAAGGTAAACAAATTGATACACTAAGTGTGTGCAAAAGATATATATTTAAATGTTTTGTGAGGGAATCACGAAAAACGTTATATTGATGTTGTGATTATTTGAATTCGAACTTTTTGCTGGTGAGAACACCTAACTTACCAACTAAAGAAATTGTATGAAATTAAACTACGTGAAAAATATATCTGATATGATGATTACAGATTGACTCATTAAAATTCAAAACAAAAGTGTTTTTGTGCAATAAAGAATGTGCTGGATAAATATTTTCTACAAATAGACAACAATCTAGAGAAACATAAAATGTAAAGAAATTGGAATTGCATATTTCCAGCTTATATAAATTACATCATCATAGCATGAAAACATTTTTTGATTTTGTAATATTTTATCTATATGCCTTTGTGCCTTTTAAGTGGTTTGATGCAGTTACATAGAACTTGACACAATTATAAATATGCATATTTTTTAAACTTACTTCAAATTTAGATTTTTCCTCGCTTATTTTATTTTTCAGCATTTCAATTTTTCTTATTATTTGGGTTTTTCTATCATCTGCACTTTTTAATGTTCGTTCCTGAAATTAAAAATATATATATATATAGCCGTTAAAATATATATCTATTTAGTTACAGAAATGTAAAATATATTTATATTGAATGCTAATACATAGTTGACATTCGTTTGAGATATCAATAATAAATGATATGCAAACAAAAAATTAAATTTATAAAAGTAAAATTAATTTGAATGAAAATAGAGCGAAATATAGTATAAACATATGTACATTTAACATATTCCTCATATCTTAGTGTTTGCAACGACAAATGTATCAGTTATTCATTTGAAAATTATAACTTTTTCATACAAAAACGCGAGTAATCTTTAAAAGGAAATAAAATGTAGACACTCACCTTCTCTTCAATCTCCTTTTTAAACTTTTCTGTCGTAGTATCGATCATAGATTGCTTTTGTAAAACATTTTGGTAATCCCGTTCATTAGCTGCAAATTGTTCTTTTGCCAATACCAAGTCATTTTCATGATCAGCTAGTTTATTTTGAATTTCTTCAATTTCCAATCGAAGCTTCTTCGCCATGCAAACACTAAGTTTATCTTGAATATCTTTACGGACATTGAAAAGTTCCAACTGAACTTTTAATCTAAAAATATAATAATGTAGTAAAAAGTTAATTGTATATTTACAGGCAATCCAAAACAGAATTTCTGTAGAAACATTTATAAATATTTTTTGCAACATAAACCACTTTTTTTAAAAAAAGGGCTAGAAATAGAAAAATAATATTACAGCTTGAATACAAATATTTGTCGACAAGGCGCGTTTAATGTAATTAGCACTCGTGGTGTGCATTCTTTACAAGGGAGCCATATATTGTCAAAATATGGTAAGTTGGCTCAAGGACAAAAACCATACCCTCTTCGCCCCCATCACCAAGGATAAGGTAAGATCGTTTATTGCTGCCAAGAAAGATTTGAATTTAATCCCATTTGGAAGTTACAGTTACTGTAATGTCACCACCGTAAGTTTGGACAGATGACATTGCCTCTGTTTGGAACGAAACAGAAGTGTTATAAGAATCTTAGAAAAACGAAGTGGAATTCAATGCCAAAACAGCAGAGGGAATCAGTGAGCATTAGGACTCCCAGCACGCCTACACCAAAGGCAAATATGTAGACACAGCTTTACACGAAACAGAGGGACATATTGAGAGAAATTTGGAGAACTCCAACTTCACGTTTTCGCATTTCCCGAGTCAATCACTTGAAGACGGAATGGTAGAGTAACTTCGGGTAATGTGGACCACCATTTTCTTTTTTTGATATTGTGGGCCTACCAACGGTTAAAACTGAAAACAAATTGTTTTCAAAACATAGTAGATTTGTTGGCTAAATATATTCCAGGTCAAAAATTATATATATTTATCTATAAAAATATTATTGCATTATAATTCAAAAAACTCTAAGCTGCAAATAAAAATAACTTGGCGGGTAATGTGGACCAGTATGTGTGGGTAATGAGTATTAGTAAGTTAAAGGTAGATTGTGGTTTGGTTGTGATAAATTTCAATTTATTACACTCTTGGGTAACAATGAATGCAAAAATATATGGGTTCATGTTTTGGAATAGCCCTCATTTAAGGTTACCGCCCCATTTGCGGTATTTTGAAGGTCCTTGCTTCATTATCCAACCGAAGCACCTGTAATTTCGCATATCGAGTTTTCAGAGGATAGAATACCTCCTCGCACCCACGTTTCGAACTCGTCCTCATGAAAAGATCCCACTTTTTTATAGTGGTCACATTACCCGACATTGAATATTTTTATATAAAAATAATTATCGGCTTCAAAAATGAATAAAAATTAAAAATTGCCGATTGTAATTACAGCTAAACGTATATTTTTGTTAAAGAAAACAAGAAAAACCACATAACTTCTTTATATTCGAGAAAAACAAAGTGTTCGACTATTGTGCAAAAACTTTCGACTATTGTGCTAAAAAATGTTCAAATCACACTTTTACAATCACAGCTACATTTTCTACTACTACATTTTCTACAATGCATTTATTTATTAAAAACCAGTTTTGATGTTTGTTTTCACTAATAAGGAAAATATTTATCAAGGCGGCATTGACATATTTCAAGCATTTTCTTAGATATAGGGGGTGGTCCACATTTGACGCATAGTCCACATTACCCGAAGTTACTCTACTGTTCATTAAAAAGCGGAAAAGTCCAAATTCTTTCAGCCTACACCAGATGGAGTAGAGCGACATCCTAGACCACCGTTTATCGTGGAAAAGGAACGTACGATTGGAGTTGAACAATGTACAACAGTCATTGTTCGCTCAGACAGATTTATTAACACATTCACAGAAGTAAAAGCTATAGCATCCATTTTTATGCTGAAGTTTAATGCATTTGCGTCCGTCAATGTGTTAATTAGGTTAACCGATAAGACCAGCTGAGTTTTCATTGACTGTCAGAAATTATTGTTTGAATAAATGAAAAAAAATCTTCTTCGAACCAAAATATACGTGCATAATTCTATTATTGGTCTTTAAAAGATATTTTGAGTTTTAATCCGGTTCTCGTTCGCGATTAGAAAGTTGACAACAAAAGAAGACTAAGGCATGTATTCGCCACCCGGTAGACCTTATTTAATTGACCATGATTGTGACTATGGTTTGGTAGGGGAATTCGTTTTATGAGCGCATTACCAAATTATATCATTAGAGAATGTACTTACTCTTCCACCCGAACCAATGTGCTGTCAAGTTTTTGTTTTAAATTTTTATAATCAGATTTTCCATTTTCTTGAGTTTTACGAAGGTCCTTAAGCTTTTGGAAATTTTCGATTACATCTTGACTACATACAGAATTTATGGTATTTAGAAGAATTTCTTGAGGATTCATTTTAGCAAAGTCCTAAAGAGTAAACGATATTGGGTTAATCGATTTGCGTAAACTATATCAAATAATAATTACCTGAACCCGATCCTGTGGTAGAAATTGGCATAGGTTCCCGATTTGAATTTTATAATTGTTTACACATTCCAAAAACTTTTTTTGAGCCACCGCTTGATCGTTGACGAAATACTGGGACTTGCCATGTAAATCAAATCTGCGTTGAAATTTTGTCGTGTCATCGCATTGGTCAAAAATTTCCACAAGTACTTTTGCCGATTCGCATCCATTTTTTACATAGTCCCCAATCGAACTAGAGCGCGCTAGAATCTTCGGATCACCACCTAGACCAAGAACAATAGCAGATACTAATGTTGACTTTCCGGTACCATTAGGTCCAATTATAACATTTAGATATTCAGATGGATGAAAAACACATTTCCCGTAGGTGCTGCAATGACATACGTAAACAGAAAAATGATCAGATGGGTGGGTTTCTTTTGTTCATATGTCCATAAAATTACAATCCTGATCTTATGAATAGAACATTAAAGTGTCATAATAAAGAATATTGACAACATATCTTACACAAAATTTTCGCAATAGACGCTTTTAATTTTTCCCGTTTTTGCGGAGCGTGAAACCCCTTTCCTCCCGACGATCATCTTTTCCTAGTTTTTTTCTCCTGGAGCAAAGCCTTCCAAAGGAAATTTAAAATCGTACTCGTGAACCTACCAAAACTAAAAACGTTCCACCTGCTACGAATAAGACAAGGCCCAAGATCTATTAATAAGGTCACCAAGATAGCAATCGAAATCGGAAAACAGCTGTTTTTCTCAAGTCTAATGTCAAAAATTTCGACTTTGTTTACGTTTTCATAATGGAAGTCAATTCACAATAATGCATTTTGACAGCAAACTTAAGAGGTATCAATAATCAGCTGGTCTCCCTTGGTGACCTTATTTATAGGACATGACAAGGCCTATAAACAAGGTTATCCAGAGAGACTAGCTGCCACTCAAGTTTGCTGGCAAAATTCATTATTGTGAATTGACTTAAATTATGAAAACGTAAACAAAGTCAAATTCGATTGCTGCCTGGGTGACCTTATAAATAGATCTTGGAATTAAAGACAAAGAGGAAAATACCTTATGCCATGTACAGACGAGCGTTGTTCGCTCTCTCATTCGTTGTTCGACCCTTAATTATGAAGTAATTACTTAGTTCCCCATACAAAATTGTCTGAGCGAACACCGACTTTTGTACGTTGTTCAATTCGAATCACTCTCTGAATAACCAAGAAATTTGTCCCATCCCTAACAATTGAGAGTATTTATCGAAAATAAATTAATTTTGACAGCATGAAAATATTTATAAGATTTTCAAACTTTTTCAGTAAACTTGAAATTGATGAATGAAAAGTAAAAAATTTTATAGTTTTTATATATGCAGCAGGATGTAAATGTTGTTTTCTACATAATGCAATATGCATTTCTTTTCCCTTGGTTATAATTAGCGTACAAAACAAGAAACAAATGTGGGGCAACTCAAACAAAAAATTCTCCAAATTTGTATATGTGACAGTATGTGACATTTGAATTGAGAAAATATAAAAATGTATTAAAAACAACAACTTTTTCAGAAAAAATAGAAAACATGAATGAAAAGTAAATAGATATGGGTTCATACTATAGTCAGGAGAAAAAGAATTATTTTTTCTATTTAGATCCCTATGTAATTCACTAAAATATGTTAAATTTTTGGTGTAAAACAAGAAACAAAAAGTTTGAAATAAAAAAACTCTGTTGACATGAATTATGAATAGTGTTGTATGAACGGGTTAATTCATGTTCGTAATTCTGAGAGCGAACTACGTTGTTCGGATGCCCGTCAGAACATGGCATTAGTCCAAGGTAGATATACAAGGTAGCCGCATCGGCGAATTTCTACAACAAACATCGGTTGTTGTATTTTGATATGTCAAAAATATTTTGCCAAAACAAACAGATTGGCAAGATTTTTTTACACAAATTCTTGTAGAAAATGTTAACAAAAGTATTGCCAAAAAAGCTCTTCGAAATTCGGAGATTTTCATTCATAATTTTGTTTTTTAATTTTTTTGGTTCAACATTACAACAACATTTTTGACATTTATTTGTCCAACAGCTGGGCCGATGCGGCTACCTTATTAAATATACCTTGCCTTAGTCTGCTTTTCCACAGGCAGATTTTTATTTGGCAAATACTGAGTTTGTAGGCGAGAGGGGTGCGAGGAAGAAAAACAAAAATTTGCCTGTTCAGAATTTGCCGTACACGCCAAGGTAAATATACAAGGTAGCCGCATCGGCGAATTTCTACAACAAACATCGGTTGTTGAATTTTGATATGTCAAAAATATTTTGCCAAAACAAACAGATTGGCAAAATTTTTTTACACAAATTCTTGTAGAAACTGTTCATAAAAGTATTGCCAAAAAAGCTATTAGAAATTCGGAGATTTTCATTTATAATTTTGTTTTTTAATTTTTTGGTTCAACATTACAACAACATTTTTGACATTTATTTGTCCAACAGCTGGCCCGATGCGGCTAACTTATTAAATATACCTTAGGTTAGGTTAGGGATGTACGGCTGTTGTAACAACAGTCCACTCGGAAACTATGTCCATTGTGATCATCCTTTATGTATAGGTGTACCTATAAAGAGAAAGAAGAAAAGATAGTGGAAGAGTAGAGAGAGAGGTAGTCAGAATGGGTGGGAGCGGAAGAGACATTATTTTAGCCAAGTCAATTTTTTGACAAAGCCTAGAATTTGGTTAGGGTCTATTTTGGAGAAGAAGACTAGATTATCAATTTCATAACATCCAAACTGTTTATGTCTTCTGCTGATCAGCGATGGACATTTGCAAAGGATGTGCTCAATTGTTTCCACTTCTTTTTCATCCTCACATAGACGACAGTAATCCTCTCCACTGGAGTCCCACTTAGAAGTGAGAGATCTAACTTTGCAGTGACCAGTAATGATCCCCACAACGACCTTAATCTCCCTCTTGTTGTGATCCAGCAGCGAAGACGTTCTTTTACGAGAGAATTCTGGCCAGATAGATTTAGAGATTCTGCATGCAGGTTCCCTTAACCATCTGTTGCCGACTACCTCGCAATGGAACGCGCGGATTCTGCCAATGAAATAGCTAATAGGAGGTTTCACAGATCTCTCAATCAGAAGACTGGACGACTGTGACCCCCCTCGAGCAAGCTCGTCGGCTATCTCATTCCCTTCAATATCGTTATGTCCTGGAACCCAGCATAACCCAACTATTTGACGTATATCATTCAGAGCGGTTTTACAATCATGAACTGCTTTCGAGTTTATTGTATGCGACTTCACCGCTTTCAGGGCCGCCTGACTATCTACGTAAATAGTCACCGGTCCTGTAATGTCTGTATTAAGTGCTTTTACTATCTCGGCCGCTTTCGTGATTGCAAGAATCTCTGCTTGAAAAACGCTACAATCATTGTTGAGTTTATATGAGTTTCGTATACCTAATTCCCTGCAGTAGACGCCTGCGCCAGTGCCTTCCTCCATCTTGGACCCGTCTGTGAAGATTGACAGACCTGGCAGAGGTAGGGAGCCACTAGTCCAGGATTCCCTGTTAGGAAATTCGACTTTAATGTCATTAAAATCCCTGTGGGGGGGAATATAGTCACTGATATGACTATCCCCCCTAAAAAGGTCATAACTTGGCGTTATGTTTAGAATGCTGGCATGACCATAGTTCAGCGATTTCAAGGCATCTGTTTCCCGGAGTCTCAGGGCACACCTAGCAGCCTGGAATTTGATCAGAATGTCCAATGGTTGGAGATTCAAGATTGCATTCAAGGCTGCTTGTGGTGTGCTTCTTAATGCTCCAGTGATCAGAATTGAAGCCGATCGCTGTACTAAGCTCAGTTTTGTCAGCAGCTTCTTTTTATTCACCCCCTGCCACCAGACAAGACATCCATAAGTAAGTATGGGTAAGACAATCGTCGTATACAACCAGTGTATAATTCCGGGTCTCAATCCCCAACTCTTGCCTATGGAGTTCTTGCATGAATAGAGTGCCATCAATCCCTTCTTAGAGCGTTCCTCGACATTCCTATTCCACAGTAACTTGCGGTCTAGGACAGTGCCAAGATATTTAGCTTCATCAGAAAGGGTTAATGTCACTCCACCAAGTGATGGCAGACGGAAACTAGGAATTTTGTATTTCCTAGTGAAGAGTACCAGTTCGGTTTTTGTGGGGTTTACACCAAGACCTTTGGTGCAAGCCCAATTTGACAGGGTTGAAAGAGCACCCTCCAGGATGTCTGATATTGTCGTAATAAACTTACCCCCAACCAACAAGACTACATCATCGGCATAGGCTACAACCTTTATCCTGAGATGATTGAATTTCATAAGTATCTCATTTATCACCAGAAGCCACAAAAGGGGGGAAAGAACTCCACCCTGAGGTGTGCCTCTGTTGACAGATTTCCTCACGGAACTCTCTCCTAGGGATGAGTTGATAATTCTGCTTTCCAGCATTCTATCAATCCATTCCGTAAGGAGTGAGGGGATACCTATGTCTACGAGAGCAGAATGGATTGCCTCTAGCTTCACATTGTTGAAAGCTCCTTCGATGTCGAGGAATGCTGCCAACGTGTAGCCAGAGGACTCCATATTCTTCTCGATGTATCCAACCACCTCATGCAGAGCTGTATCCACTGATCTGCCCTTGATATAGGCATGCTGGGATTTACTAAGTTTATTACGGTCAATGGTATCTCTAATTTCTGAGTCTAGTAACCTTTCTAAAGTTTTTAGTAGAAAGGAAGAAAGACTAATCGGTCTATAGTCTTTAGGTACCGTATGACTCGGCTTCCCGGCTTTCGGGATGAAGGTCACGGTAACCTCTTTCCATAGACTGGGTATGTACGACAAAAGTAAACAAGCCCTAAAAATGTCCTGCAGATATGATATTATCCGTTCATCTGCGTGTTGCAGCATGGCCGGTGTTATACCATCTGGACCAGGAGATTTGTAGGGTTGAAAACTATTTATCGCCCATATCATTTTTGGGTATCTTATAGTGTCTTCTATCATCTTCTCCTCTTCCCTCGTCCGAACTGTAGGCTGATGCACACACTGCGCATCTTCCCTATAGTCCTTACAACCAGGAAAGTGGGTTGATGATAGAAGATCAAGAGTCTCACTACCAGAGTTTGTCCACGTTCCATCACTTCGCTTAATACTTCCTATGGATTTTGGATCCTTAGAGAGTACTCTGCGGAATCTGGCCGCTTCGTTGACTCCTTCGATCGACTCGCTATAGCAGACCCAAGACTCACGTTTAGCTTTCTTGATTTCGCCCTTGTACCTATTGAATTGTCTTTTATAGACATCCCAATCTGTACTGAGCTTTGTCTTACTAGCTCTATTATAAGCTTTCCTTGCAGCCTTCCGCAAGGTTGCAAGGTCCTGTGACCACCATACCGGCTGAGATTTCTTCCCAGGGTATGTTAGAGGACAAGATGCCTCATAGCTCTTCAGAAGAGTGGCCGTGACATTTTTCACAGCTAATTCAACATCCTCAACCGTTTTGAGATCATTACGATCCCGAAAAGAGGCTGCTGTTTTAGCTTTGA